CATCATCTACTGCATTAGCTGCTGTAAGGAAGGAATCAAAGCAGGGAGTGAAGAGAAGCTTCCAATAGGAATAAAAATGCTTCAGGAGCATGACAGGCTGCCTCTCTAATGAGAAAACTCATTACTCACTATGGTACGAGGAGAAGTGAAAGCAGTTGGGAGCACAGTTCCTTCTCTACCTCTGTACTGGAGGTCAGATTGCATAAGGCAGCACACAGAATAGCAGTCACTGCGTTCTGGATCCAAAAATCACAGTACTCATTTGGGCCCTGTAGCGAGGCAGTGGGATACCCACAGCCACGCTGAGGGCCAAACCTCCCCTAACACCAACGTGGGCGGAGCCATCGGGTCCGGCACCCACCCCTCAGAGGTCACGGCGCCGACCCGGAAGTATAAAAGCATGCCTGCAGAGCTCAGTGGAGAACAAGCCGGCGGAGAGAGCAGATGTCTGTGGCCGAGGTCCTGCTTGGGAGACAGCAGCAGGCCGCAACCGGCCGGCTGACTTACCAGGCCAGCCAAGCCTACCTCTCGCCGTTACCTCGAGGAGGACTGGCCAAGCCTGCCCCTTTCCAGCTGTCCCGAGGAGGAGCCGAGCCTGCCCCTTTCCCGAGGAGGAGCCAAACCTACCCTTCGCTACCTACCCGGAGGAACCGATGCTGGTGGAGATCACCGAGGACACTAGTACGGCCCAGGTACCCTACGAGGGGGGAGTGTGGAAGTAGCCCGGGGGCAGCTGACCCCAGTCTGGCTGCAGCACTGCCAGAGCCTATGTCAGTGTGTTGCAGCCAGGATCCCCACTGACAGCAGTGAGTTTCCGTTGCTGCTAGGGCCCTGGGCTGGGACGCAGTGGAGTGGGAGAGCCTGGGTCCCCCCTGCCACCCACTCCTTGGGTGGCAGACTCCCCCTTTTCCCTGGCCTAGGGAGGCTGGGACCTCTTGCTCCTTGACTCAGCTCCTGCTTAAGGGCCTGGGTTCCTGACTGACTATTTGATTGCTGCCCTGCTCTGACCTAGGGCCTGGGCTGCTACAAACCCCTTGACTCAGCCCCTGCTTAAGGGCCTGGGTTCCTGAACTATTGGCTCAGCCCCTGCTTGAGGGCCTGAGCTCCAGACTGCTTGGTTGCTGCCCCGCCCTGATCGAGGGCCCAGGGCTTTTCCTGACCTATTGGCTCAGCCCCTGCTTAAGGGCCTGAGCCCCTAACCGTGTGTTTGCTGTCCCACGCTACCGCTGGACCAGGACTGACGGCGGACCAGAGCGAGGCGGTGGGATACCCCACAGCCCCGCTGAGGGCCGAACCTTGGCCGAGACTTGTACAGGCCCCGACTCAGCAAGGTACTTACATGTTTAAAGTTAGGCATGTGCTTGAGTACTTTGCTGAGTTGGGGACTTGAAGAGCAGGAATCTACAGAAAAATTCTTCTAAAAGGAACAAGAACAAGTTGATGTACTGTACCCCCCCCCCATCACCATACATGGTATCAGTAGGTGAACATTAACAATTCTTTAGAACTGACTATGCTTTTGTATTAGCCATTTTTGAACCTATATATTTCCCAGATTATTTTAAGTACTTAAGGGTAATAGCAAAAACCCTCAAGTATTGGTTTGCCCATTTTTGTTTTATATTTTCTGATTGCTTTTTTCCCCCGCATCTGAAACCACAAAAACATCCTTTATACAACTATTAAAATGACAAACAATTTGGCAAAGGGGGTGGGGGAGAATAGAAGTACCCCAAAGCTAAGTTTGCTTTAGCTAACTGTTTGCTAAGTTTCCACCTGGAACAGATATTGAATGTACACAATTAAGTTGAGACCTTAAAAAACTGAGTTTAACAAAAATGCTCTCAGATACTTAAATACAGGAACACTACCAAACCGTAATGAAAGCAGATACAGAATGGTTGATGCCAGAGTATCAAACTGTTTCTAAATACTATTTCTCATTTTGAAATGCCATGCTCAAAAGAGCAGCGGTAAGGAGAAAATGAAACATGTATTTTTAAAACCCCTCTTGAATTAGAACTGCTAAGCAGAGCTAGAATTCACACTGCATAAATGTGAACACAAAAAAAATCACTCTCTTACTCTCTAATAGATTTGAGCCGTGGAGAGGGTGTGTGTGTGTGTGTGTGTGTGTGTGTATTCCACTAAATCAAGGTCAGCACCAGCTGCTTCTCATTAAAAACGAAGATGATGAACCTAAATGATGTGATTTCCAAGTCTTATTAGACATAACAATCAAAGTTGTACTAAATGTGTCATTCTAAGGGCCCCCCCCAACCCCAATCCTGATTCTGCACTGATTTCAGAAGTCACAGTCGGATGCAATGAAAGTTGTGAGTGCTTAGCACCCTTGAAAAAAAAGCAAGCCATTTATTTGGTGCCTGGTGTTCGGCACCTGAGTTTGAAAGTTTTGGTCGAAACCTGTCTCAGATTACCCGTTTGTAAAAAGGGGATAATACAGAGATCTATGCTCCCCTCTGTTTTAGACCATATGGGAGCAAAGCACCTGACACCTCCACCACAGGAGGGAACAGAGACAACATGGTATAGTCCCACCTTCCACAAAGCTCTCACACCCCTCTGCACCTGGATCCCTGCATTAGAGACTGGCTTATCAGAGGCAGTGCTGAGAAACAGCCACTCTCAGCAGCATGCTGTCCTTCCTGACCCCATTCTTAGCAGAAACCCAGCCTAACAGGGGTTGGATGGAACTTCCAATGCAGCGCTCCACCTGCTTCCTCTCCCAATAGCTACAGCTTCAGAGTCGGATATTTTGACATATTTCCATCCTCCCCTGAGGCTTTCCAAAGGAAGAGATGTACATAGCTGGGGTGCATTTCATGGGGCGAACTATACACTTTCTCTACCTCACTGGAGTGATGTTGGATTGGTGTTTATACAATGCTCTGACAATAGAACGTGCAGAGGATCATTAGTTTGAGGTTAGAAAGTTATCCCACCCTGCAATACGCACAGAATAAAAGACAGGTGGGCTTTTCAAAAGTGCCTCTGTTCCCACTGAAGACTCTGGAAGTGGGAACAAAGTGAGGCAGATACGAAATGTTTTTGAAAATCTTGCCCCCCAATAGTCTTCACTCTCAGCTGAGATACTCTTTGCCCACCCAACTCCCAGGCCAAAACTCTGTTATACATTTTATACTCGTTTAACCTGCATCCTCCCCCTATTAAAAGCATGGCAGATTTAAAAAACCAAATGTAGATTCTAATTGTGAGATGTAT